TACTTCCAAAACTGTCATTTTGCTACTGTTATGAATTGTAATGTAAACATCTGCCCCATAATGTGGTGGAGGCTACTCCTTTGGAGTCTTTTAAATAGAGGCTGGATGGGGGTGTTTTGAATGCAATTTTCCTGCTTCTTGGCAGAATGGGTTGGACTGGATGGCCCACCAGGTCTCTTCCAACTTTGTTGTTGTTCATTCGTTCAGTCGTTTCCGACTCTTCGTGACTTCATGAACCAGCCCACGCCAGAGCTCCCTGTCGGTCGTCACTACCCCCAGCTCCTTCAAGGTCAATCCAGTCACTTCAAGGATACCATCCATCCATCTTGCCCTTGGTCAACCCCTCTTCCTTTTTCCTTCCATTTTCCCCAGCATCATTGTCTTCTCTAAGCTTTCCTTTCTTCTCATGATGTGGCCAAAGTACTTCATCTTGGCCTCTCTCACATCCGTAGGTGACCTTCCAACTCTAGGAATCTATGATTCTATGATCTGATATGCAGGATGTATTTTCATTCACTGGACCAAATTTGGCACAAATACTCTATATGCCCAAAGTTGAATACTGGTGGAGTTCATGGGGGAATTAATATTGCCATTTGGGAGTTGTAGTTGCTGGAATTTATAGTTGACCTACAATCAAAAAAGCCTTCTGAACTCCACCAGTGATGGAATTGAACCAGATTTGGCACACAGAACCCCCGTGCCTTGAAGGGACTCACTGACATGAGTCTCCCTTTAGCTTCACACGCTCTCCCTCACCCATACATGCACACCACACTGCCATGCGCCCAGCAAGCCTGCTCTTCCCTTACTTGGTGTCTCAGTGAATCATCATCATCATCATCATCATCATTTAATTACTTATTAATCGCCCTCCATCCAAGATGCTCTAGGCGATTTACAAACTAAATTGTAAAGGATAAAAATACATACATAGAGATATTGATAAAATTAACAGAGATCAAAAGCTCTAGTAAAAAGTCAGGTCTTAAGTGCTAGGGAAAAAGGCCCCAACTCACGCATGGCTCTCATATAGGGCAGCAAGGAATTCCACAAGGCAGGGGCAGAAATAGAAAAAGCCCTGCGTCTGGTCCTTTCCAAGTGCACTTCTCTAGGACCTGGTATATAAAGTAAGTCACGTTGGGATGGTCGTTGTGACCTCCGATGATGGGAGAAGGAGAGGCGGTCCCTAAGATACGATGGACCCTGGCCGTAAAGAATTTTAAAGGTCAGAACTAGCATCTTATATAGACCACGGTAATCAGTTGGAAGCCAATGCAAGTGCCGCAACACTGGTGTTATATGGCATTTCATGGGCGTTCTTATGAGTAGCCTGGCTGCCGCATTCTGAACAATACGGAGCTTTCGGGTCATAGACATCAGAAGGCCAACATACAGGGCGTTGCAGTAGTCCAGCCTAGATGTGACCGTGGCATGGATGACTGTTGCCAGAGCCTCATCAGATAGGTAGGATGCCAATTGCCTCGCTTGCCGTAGATGGAAAAAGGCCTGTTTGCTGGCAGCAGCGACCTGAGCTTCCATTGTCAGCTGCAAATCCAAAACGACACCCAAGCTCTTAATGGTAGGCGAAGGAAATAGGGCAACACCATTGAAGGTGGGTAGCAGATGGGTCAGACCAATCGAGCGGCCATGCCACAGAATCTCAGTCTTCGCCGGGTTCACCTTCAGTCTACTAGAACGTAACCAGTTCGACAGAGCCTCCAGACATAAGGTGAAATTGTCTGGTATTGATGTTGCTCCAGGCTCCAAACGCAGAAGGAATCAGAGCTGTTAGGCTCAAAATAACCCTCACTTGGGGTGATTCCACAAAAAAATATAGCAGAGTGCCAGAAACACAGTTCATAACCAGCAGAAACTTAGTTGTAATGAGATAGGATATGCTTTCATTCAAGAGGATGGATCAGTATTGCAGAGTCACAACTTTAGGTTCTAGAACATATTGAATGAAGTAAAAAGAAATCCATTCTAGATAGAAAAGTGTCCTGGAGCTCTCTAGCTTACTAAGCTATCTTCGAAGGAAAGTAAAAGGATAAAATATCAAAAGTATCCGCACAGCTACATTTTGTCTGGAGAAAGGGAAAGTGTGTCCTCACTTGAAGGAAGACCAAGGCAGAAGAAGAAAGGCCAAAAGGAAGAATGACCACATGGCCAACATACTAGAGTAATAAAGAGGAAGTTGCCTCATCCCTCACAGAGATTACATTGCTACATTTTCAAAGGGGGAGGAGATAGTGGTAAGGGAAGAAGAGTAAAGGCAGAGCACTTTCTGGATTGAGCATGCATAGGAATGTGGGAAAGAAATCCTTTACTCTAATTTGTCTAGTCTAGCTACTCATTGAGGACTGGAGACTTGTGCAGTCAGGGATGAAACCTAACACTCAGAAACAGCCCTCCCCTTGGCTGAGTGGCTGGCCAATCAGAGCAGGAGGAAGGCTTTTGGTGGAAGGATTTGTCATCTGTTTCCAAAAAATAGAAGGACAGGTGGAGAGATCTTCAGCCTTCTGTGCCAAAAGGGTACCTAAGACCATCAGAAATATGTATTTTCTGATGGTCTTTGGAGACCCCTCTGAAACCCCCTTAGAATCATAGAATCAAAGAGTTGGAAGAGACCTCATGGGCCATCCAGTCCAACCCCCTGCCAAGAAGCAGGAATATTGCATTCAAATAACCCCTGACAGATGGCCATCCTCTGTTTAAAAGTTTAAAAGAAGGAGCCTCCACCACACTCCGGGGCAGAGAGTTCCACTGCTGAACGGCCCTCACAGTCAGGAAGTTCTTCCTCATGTTCAGATGGAATCTCCTTTCTTGTAGTTTGAAGCCATTGTTTCGCATCCTAGTCTCCGGGGAAGCAGAAAACAAGCTTGCTCCCTCCTCCCTGTGGCTTCCTCTCACATATTTATACAGCTATCATATCTCCTCTCAGCCTTCTCTTCTTCAGGCTAAACATGCTCAGCTCCTTAAGCCACTCCTCATAGGGCTTGTTTTTCAGACCCTTGATCATTTTAGTCGCCCTCCTCTGGACACATTCCAGCTTGTCAATATCTCTCTTGAATTGTGGTGCCCAGAATTGGACCCAATATTCCAGGTGTGGTCTAACCAAAGCAGAATAGAGGGGTAGCATTACTACCTTGCGACACCCCCTCCCCTTCAGAGTCCTGACACCCAGGTAGAGAAACGCTGAAATAGGGCCTTTTAAAAGTCATTTTGCTTTTTGAATCAGTTTGACAGTGGGAAAGGCTGAGGTACTTCTGTATGTCTGATACAACATTTAAAAATAGGTTTGACTCAAAGTAAATCATTTGGGAGTGAATTGAGGCTTGCTCCCTGTCAGATTTTTCTGGGAAACTTAAATTGAAAATTTCCCTATGGGTGAAAAAAGGTAATCTGATTAAACATATGATTGAATGAATCAAATGTCTGATTTATATTGTTATATTTAGGTATATTCAAAGCTTTATGCAGCAATAATTTTATTAGGATCTTCTATCCATCTACTAGTCTGCTTTTCTTCCAAACAAGGACTCAAGATAGTTAGCGCCTTAGTCACCTCCAGATTGGATTACTGTAATGCACTATACATGGTGCTGCCCTTGAAGACGGCTTGGAAATTTCAGTTGGTCCAACGGGCGGCAGCCAGCTTACTAACTGGAGCGACTTACAGGGAGTGGTCTACCCCCCTGTTTAAGGAGCTCCATTGGCTGCCGTTCATTTTCCAGTCCCAATTCAAGGTGCAGGTTCTTACCTACAAAGCCCTGAATGGTTTCGGACCCACCTACCTGCGTGACCGCATTTCTGTTTACGAACCCACGTGATCTCTTCAATCATCTGGTGGGGCCCTACTCTCACTCCCGCCCCCTTCGCAGGCGCGATTGTTGGAGACGAGGGAGAGGGCCTTCTCTATGGTGGTCCCCTGACTCTGGAACTCACTCCCCAAGGATATCAGACAAGCCCCCACATTGGCAGTTTTTAGGAGGAGCCTCAAAATGGGGCTGTTCCAGTGTGCCTTCCCTGAATAAAGGAAATAATGCCCTGCTCTGATAAATTCTCTGAAAAATGTCCTCAGAAGAACTTTAACTACCCGTTGGGTTGGTCTCTTTTAAAACCCTCCTGCTTAGATACATCCTACCTCTGTTCATGCCCAGTGTTTATTTTAAAATTTTTAATCTATTACATCTGGCCTGGCCATAAGGTTTTAAATTTTGTGTGTTATTGCTTATATGTGAATTATATTAATTGTACTGTTTTATTTGCTTGCTGCTTTGTTGTTTACTGATGTGTTGTTGGGCTTGGCCTCATGTAAGCCGCCCCGAGTCCCCTTGAGGAGATGGTGGCGGGATATAAATAAAGATTGTTATTATTATTATTAACACCAGGCATGGGAAAACTTGGGCCCTCTGAGTGTTTTGGAATTCAACTCCCACAATTCCTAACGGCCAGTAGGAATTGTGGGAGTTGAAGTCCAAAACACCTGGAAGAGGGCCCAAGTTTGCCCATGCCTGGTTTACACTCTCGAGACGTATATACTTAAAAGCAACAAAACTAAGAGTATAATAGCATTAAACAACAGAATTAAAAACATTCAAAATCTTCCTTTTCCCCAAATAATTTTATTAAACATTTACTAGGAGAAGGGGTGGGTGGGAACAAGGGAGGGATAATCAATTAGTTCTTGGTTAATTGCATATTCACCAAAAATCTAATAATTTGCAAGGAGAAAGCAAAGAGGAATGATGGAAGTTAGAGTCCAAAACACCTGGAGGGCTGAAGTTTGCCCATGCCTAATCTACATTGTACAATTAATGTGGTTTGACATCACTTTGGCTGCCACGACTCAATAGTATGGAATCATGAGAATGTGTAGTCCTCTTGCTGGGGAAATATATCTGAGCAGGACTACTGGTTCTTGTCCCTCCTTCCATTCCTGATAATGGAACACGACATCTGCTATCATTGATCACCCTCTTGTTCTTCTTCCTCAGGGCCGGGCCGGGAAACCATGCAGTCATCGGGACACAGGTTCCGCGACGTCGAGCACCACCCGCTTCTGGCCGAAAATGACAGCTACGACTCCTCGGCGTCCGAGTCCGAAATGGCCGACCGGGTCTGGTTCATCCGCGACGGCTGCGGGATGGTGTGCGCAGTGATGACCTGGCTCCTGGTGGCCTACGCAGACTTCGTGGTGACCTTTGTCATGCTGCTGCCTTCCAAAGACTTTTGGTACTCCCTCGTCAACGGAGTGCTCTTCAACTGCCTGGCTGTCCTGGCGCTGTCCTCCCACTTGCGGACAATGCTGACTGATCCCGTGAGTAGAAGTGTCCTAGTTGTTCGCCATTAATCCATATTTTCACATTTCAGTACTAAATCAAGGAATGTGTCCCTATGGATGTGGTCAGATTTTCCCTTTGGAATTTCAGCTTAAATAGGTTTCAAAGAGCAGGGCTAACAAAGACAATGCTTCGGATCTTGAAGAATGGTTACCAGATTGAATAACAATGAATCATTTAGAAGAACAGCCCCATTTGGTGTAAGATGCCTTCCTTTGCTCATCCTCACCAAAGTCCCAAAGACTTTGCATCTGCAAGGACAGCATCCATCTTTGGCATGCGCCGTATGCATCGTCATTACTTTGCTATCCGTCATACTCATTCTCTCCTTGTGCTTTGATTCATAAATATTTTCCTAAAGCCTACTCTGGTTCATTCCCATTGTTCTCCCAAAACACCTTGCTGAAAACTCAGGATACTACTCTTTCTCTTCTTTGGTGGTGGGTATCTGTGTGTCTTCCTTTGCTTTCCATTTGTATTTCTATCACAAGCTGTGTGCCCTCAGGCTTGAGAGAGCCAATTACACACTCGCATCAACAGACAAACACAGAGAAAGAGGAGCAAACACCAGTGTTGTGCGTGCAGTATGCTTGCCTCGGCTCCCAGTTGCCCTTCAGCTGTCCAAGATCAGACCAAATGACTGAGGCAGCCAGACTTCAATGGAATTACCTCAGAGCCATGAAATGCTTAGCTTGACTTCTTATCTGTGGAACGATGCAAACAATACTCCCGTGGGCACTTTGTGCTCTTCTCCGTTAGTTTACAAGAAGTAATCTGCATCTCGTTTCAGTTGTTCAAAGAATTACAGGTAGCAGGCCCAGGGATAGTTACCTAAAATGGAATGTTGTGATCATAGAATCATAGAATCAAAGAGTTGGAAGAGACCTCCTGGGCCATCCAGTCCAACCCCCTGCCAAGAAGCAGGAATATTGCATTCACATCACCCCTGACAGATGGCCATCCAGCCTCTGTTTAAAAGCTTCCAAAGAAGGAGCCTCCACCACACTCCGGGGCAGAGAGTTCCACTGCTGAACGGCTCTCACAGTCAGGAAGTGCTTCCTCATGTTCAGATGGAATCTCCTTTCTTGTAGTTTGAAGCCATTGTTCCGTCCTAGTCTCCAGGGAAGCAGAAAACAAGCTTGCTCCCTCCTCCCTGTGGCTTCCTCTCACATATTTATACATGGCTATCATATCTCCTCTCAGCCTTCTCTTCTTCAGGCAAACATGCCCAGCTCCTTAAGCCGCTCCTCATAGGGCTTGTTCTCCAGACCCTTGATCATTTTAGTCGCCCTCCTCTGGACACATTCCAGCTTGTCAATATCTCTCTTGAATTGTGGTGCCCAGAATTGGACACAATATTCCAGGTGTGGTCTAACCAAAGCAGAAGAGAGGGGTAGCATGACTTCCCTAGATCTAGACACTATGCTCCTATTGATGCAGGCCAAAATCCCATTGGCTTTTTTTGCCGCCACATCACATTGTTGGCTCATGTTTCACTTGTTGTCCACAAGGACTCCAAGATCTTTTTCCTGCTCTCGAGCCAGGCATTGTCCCCCATTTTATATCTTTGCATTTCTTTTTTCCTGCCAAAGTGGAGTATCTTGCATTTGTCACTGTTTAACTTCATTTTGTTAGTTTTGATCAGAGCATCAAATGTTGTATACAAAACGCTGTGTCCATCATAGGATTTTGTAAACTGTTGAGCTTTTCTTCCCGCCTGCCTCTCTCCTCAGGGGGCTGTTCCCAAAGGAAACGCCACGAAAGAGTTCATGGAGAGCTTGCAGCTGAAGCCAGGCGAGGTGATCTACAAGTGTCCCAAGTGCTGCAGCATCAAGCCAGAGCGGGCCCATCATTGCAGGTATGTCCCTCACAGCCTTCATTCTCAGCCTTCAGCCTTAGGGCCACACCACACCGTATGTTAAGGCTGTTTCCTTGTGTGTCGTTGAGTTTTAAAACAATGTGCAGATTTGAGTGTAGGGATGATCTGGGGTGCATCTTTGTGGTAGAATTAATGCATTTTGATGCTGCTTTGACTGCCCTGGCTCAATGCCATGCAATCATGGGAGTTGTAGTTATACAAGGGGCTTAGCTTTAACTGCCAGAGAAGGACATTAGAGTAGTCTCAAAGTGCATTAATTCTACAGTGCTTTTCCCTCCATAAGTAAAGTTAAAGGTTTCCCCTTGACATGAAATCCAGTCGTGTCCGACTCTGGGACTCTCATGCTCATCTCCATTTCTAAGCCGAAGAGCGGTATTGTCCGTAGATGCCTCCAAGGTCATGTGGCCAAGCACATGACTGCATGGAGTGCCATTACCTTCTTGCCGGAGTGGTACCTATTGATCTACTCACATTTGCTTATTTTTCAAACTGCTAGGTTGGCAGAATCATAGAATCAAAGAGTTGGAAGAGACCTCATGGGCCATCCAGTCCAACCCCCTGCCAAGAAGCAAGAACATTGCACTCAAATCACCCCCGACAGATGGCCATTCAGTCTCTGTTTAAAAGCTTCCAAAGAAGGAGCCTCCACCACACTCCAGGGCAGAGAGTTCCACTGCTGAACGGCTCTCACAGTCAGGAAGTTCTTCCTCATGTTCAGATGGAATCTCCTCTCTTGTAGTTTGAAGCCATTGTTCCGCGTCCTAGTCTCCAAGGAAGCAGAAAACAAGCTTGCTCCCTCCTCCCTGTGTCTTCCTCTCACATATTTATACATGGCTATCATGTCTCCTCTCAGCCTTCTCTTCTTCAGGCTAAAAATGCCAAGCTCCTTAAGCCACTCCTCATAGGGCTTGTTCTCCAGACCCTTGATCATTTGATCAGAAACTGGGCCTAATAGTGGGAGATAACCCCACTCCCCGAATTCGAACAGCCCATCTTTCAGTCAGCAAGTTCAGCAGCTCAGCAGTTTAACCTGCTGCAGCACCAGGGGCTCTTTACACTTGGGAATTGTTTGACTTGTGATTTTGTGATACGAAATCCAGCATATATATATCTTGTTTACTGTGTTATACTGTGTTTTTGTGTCAGTAAAATAATAATAATAATAATAATAATAATAATAATAATAATAATAATAATACTTTCCTCCTTGAAGGGACACAGGGCGGTTTCCAAATATATGGCAAACCTTCAGTGCCAAGAAGGAAAACCATACAAACAAATTACATCAAACCAGACCACATCAAAGCAGCTCACAACTAAAAGCATTGCAATACCACTGAAAATATACAAATATACAAGCATTGAAACAGTATTAAATCATTAAAAGCATATAAAATCACAGCAACTTCTGATGGTTTCTAAAACATTCTTTAAAAGCCTGCCTGAATAAAAATCATCATCATTCTTCACTGTCCAGAAACAGATTTCCTCCTGGGGAAAATAGCAGGGACCCCTTTCTCCTTGGATGGCCTTTTAAACATACACCCAGAGCTATAATAATGGATTTAATTCCATCCCACCTCACTTCTGTAACCATGCAGCTATCTTTTTCCCTAGGAAAATATGCAAGAGGGCTCATGTTGCTGCTTTCTCCAAGCAGAGCCATTAAGTGGTCTGCTGCAAAAGTGAAAGGCAAGGTCACTTCTTTCAAGCCATTCCCCTTTGGTTTGAACAAGAGAGTGAAAGGCTCACATTTCCCAGCAGCCGAGATTTAGAGCCCATCTGTTTCATCAGTTCAGCTGAGCATCTCTCTCAGTATCTCCCTCTCCTGTCTCTGGTGGTCCCATCGATGCTCAGGCACAGCAGGATTTTGTCATGGCAAAACTCATCTCACTGGACAAGGAAACATTTCAGTTCAGGATATTATTTCCATCATATCCGATTCCAAAGGCTTCCTGCTACAGATTGAATATCCTTTATCTGAATGTTTGAGACCAAAGTATTTTGGATTTCTTTCAGTTTTTAAAATATATGCATATACATTGTTAATATGCCACAGTAGCACAGAGGGTTAAACCGCTAGCTGCAGAAAAACTTGCTGACCTGAAGGTTGGCAGTTTGAAGCCGCAGATCGGGGTGAGCTCCCGCTGTTAGCCCTAGCTCCTGCCAACCTAGCAGTTTGGAAAAAAGTATATTATTATTATTATTAACTTTATCTCCCGAAGGACTCGATGCGGCTTACAAAGGCCAAGGCCTCAATAAAACAACAGTATAACAATACGCATACACCATAAAGCAAATCAAAATATTAAAGCAATAGACAGTAAACGATAAAAACAATACACCATAACACAGTAAAACTAAGGCCAGGCCAAGTGTAATGGGTGCAGATTAAAAGTGCTGAGTATGCCGAGTGAAATATAAGGATTTATGGGTAAGTGCCACCTTGTGGGGAAGGTAAAAGGCACCCATGCATCCATGCCGGCAAAACAAGATCAAGAGGGTCTACAGTAGGTATGGGCAAACCCAGGCCCAGGGATCGTATGCAGCCCCTTGGGCTCTTTGCTCAGGCCCTCTTCTCTCCCATCACCCTATCCTTCCTTCCTTCTCTCTTTCCTTCCTCCTTCCCTCCCTCCCTTCCTTATCTTTCTTTCTCCCTCCTTTCTTCCTTCTGTTTCGTCCTTCCTTCCTTCCTTCTCTCTTTTTCTCCTTCCTTCCTTCCTTCCTTCCTTCCTTTTTGTGTTTCCTTCCTTCTCTTTCCTCCCTCCCTTCCCTTCCATTCTTCCTCCCCTCCTTTTTTTCCTTCCTCCTTTCCTCCTGGGGAATGTTTAGCTGGCAGAAGAGACAGTAGAGAGGGAACTTGAGAACCATGCCTCAAGATTTGAAAGGGTCTCCCATTTGGGGGGGGGGGGGAGAGAGAGACACTGACTTTCTGCTGCTTTAGAGACCAGGGCACAATGGAAAATTGTTCCAAATGGCAGGGAAAGGAATTCAACTGAAAAGAAGAGGAAGAACTTCCTAGAGAATAGCCTAGGCTGCCTGGGAGTGTGGTGGAATCTCCTTCCCTGAAGACTTTTTTGCAAAGGCAATCTATCGGGAGTGCTTAGGTTGTGCCTTCCTGCGTCGCAGGAGGTTGGACTGGATGGTCTTTACGGGTCTCTTCCTGCTCTAGGATTCTATATCAGAAGTAGGCAATACGGTGTCTAATGGATAGACTTTTTCTCTCCCGTCCACCATCTCAACCAACTCTTTCGGGATCCAAATGTTTCCCATCTTGCCTTCGCTTTCTGCCTCTGAAAGAGAAGAGGAAGTGGAGGAAAAAGCAGGGAGGGGAACTTGGGGAGAACCCCCTCCCTCCCAGCCCACCCACCCCACTCTGGCCCAGCATGTGGCCCCCAAGTTAGAAAGTTTGCCCATGCCATCAGGCTCCTTGGCATGGAAAAATGGAACAAGAGTACCTCTCAATGGCCAGAGTGGAGCATAACCTCCAGGTGCCGGAGATAGAAAGGGAAACCTTTGGCTTTGTGCATTGTATGTCATTGTTCACGTACAAAAAGGCATTGAATGTTTGCCTATATATGTGTATACTGTAATTCGCTCTGAGTCCCCTCAGGGAGATAGAGTGGAATAAATTGTATCATTATTATTATTATTATCATTACTACTACTACTACTACTACTCCATCTCAGAGATGGGTCCCAAGTCTAAACACAAAATTCATTTATGCTTTATGTACACATAGCCAGAAGGTAGTTTTGTTAATAATGTTAGGAGCCGCAATGGCGCAATGGGTTAAACACTTGTGCCGGCTGAACTGCTAACCTGAAGTAAGCAGTTCTCACCGGGATTGTGGCGCAGCTGGCTGAGTGTCAGCTGCATTAAGATCACTCTGACTCAAAGGTCATGAGTTCGACGCCAGCCCGGGTTGAAGTGGGTTTCCAACCAATTGTGTGTAGCCTGTTGTTGACCTTTGCAACCCGAAAGACAGTTGCATCTGTCAAGTAGGAAAATTAGGTACCACCTTAAAGTGTGGGGAGGCTAAATTAACTGATTTATGAGGCCATAAAGAAGACTCCAGCAAAGCATTCCAGCAGGGAAGCATGCGGGGAATGCGGAAGTGCTTCATCAGCGTCACAGATGGACGATGAAAGCGACAGCTCCCCTGGCGGCCAGAAAAAGTTAAATAGCCTCTGTGTAGGTCTGTATATGTATGTCAAAAATTGGCATTGAATGTTTGCCATATATGTGTACACTGTAATCCGCCCTGAGTCCCCTGCGGGGTGAGAAGGGCGGAATATAAAAGCTGCAAATAAATAAATAAATAAATAAGACCTGAAGGTCAGCAGTTCAAATCTGCAAGACAGGGTGAGCCCCAGCTTCCCATGCAAGGACATGAGAGAAGCCTCCCACAGGATGGTAACACATCTGGGTATCCCCTGGGAAACATCCTTGCAGGTGGCCGATTCTTTCACACCAGATACAACTTGCAGTATATTCTCTGTGCTTCTGACATTATAAAAAAGTTAATAATGTTGTGCATGAATCAATGCTTTTCTACTATTAACTATCAAAAAGCAAAAGTGCAACTATCTTTGCCACCCATGTGGACAATTTTGGGAATTCTGGATAAGGGATGCTCAACCTGTATAACAGCTGAATGAACCACAAAACGGTCTTTCTTGACGTGGTCGATGAAATATTTCTGTATAAACAAGATTCTGGCTCCAGAAGAAATTCTGCAATAATTTGAGATTCATGACCATTATATTCTATTACTTTCGATATGGGTGAGAGCTTGGCTTCATTTACAATCATATTTGTTGTTTTCTGTAACGAAACAGAGAGGGGAAGATACTCTTCAAAGACAGAGGCACGAATCTGATGGAGCAAGACATTGCACTGTTGCATTTATAAGACACCAGCTGTGCTTTGTGCCATCCATCATCGACAGGAGAAGCAACATAATAGGCACTTACATTTGCTTCAACATGCTGGAAGCAAGCATTATCGAGCCACCTAATGCCATTTGCAGCGAAAGCAGAGTCAGAAACTCTGCGCAGCTGCATTAGTGTTCTCAAAAGTTGTTCCTTTTGTCCTCCTGGTTCATGCATGTCTTAGATATTTTACAGAGAAAGGGCCTCACCAAGGTCAACATCAATACAACATCATTTTCTATACATTTCCCTCTATATTCACCAGTATCTGCAAGCGGTGTATTCGGAAGATGGACCATCACTGCCCGTGGGTCAACAACTGTGTTGGGGAAAGGAACCAGAGGTTTTTTGTGCTTTTTACGGTGAGTAGGAAAGATGGACCCATCCCAACATTGTTGAGATTGGGATCTTCACGCTGGGATACATTTAATGTGTCATTTCTTTAATGTGGATGAGCAATAAGGCATAGCCATATGTAACTTCTGAGAGTGGTATTTGGATCCAGACCAAGGCAACACTTTTGAGAATGTGTTGGGATCTTTGAAATATTTGAGACCAGAAGGATTTTGGATTTTCCCCAAGATTTTAGAACGTAGCTTTATAAGCAATACTGTAATAGCGTTATGCATTAATTTATTTATCGTATCAGAAGAGAACCAAGGGTTCAGTTGTAATGTGTCACTGTGAGAAGGTCTTCCATTGTGCATGTGGCAGGGCTCAAGTTGCATTGTAATAGATGGTCTGTAGTTTGCTCTTCTCTTCATTCACATGTCGTGGACTCCACTTTGTAGCCCCATTTCCTAAGGTTGACTCTTCATCTTGCAGAGCACAGCCTGTTCAGCGTCTTCCAAGTCGCCCAGTCTTCTGTGTGCCCACAAGGGAGTCTCTCATCTGGTATCAGTGGCTGGTATCAGCGACTGATTGAGGTTTCAGGTTTTAGCTTGCCACTTTTGGACTCTCATTTGCTGAGGTGTTCCTGCAAGTATCTCTGTAGATCAGTGGTTCTCAACCTGGGGTCCCCATATTTTTTTGGCCTACAACTCCCAGAAATCCCAGTCAGTTTACCAGCTGTTAGGATTTCTGGGAGTTGAAGGCCAAAAACATCTGGGGACCCCAGGTTGAGAACCACTGCTGTAGATCTTAGTACACTATTCCTTGATTTAAGGCAGGGGTCCTCAAACTTTTTAAACAGAGGGCCAGGTCACAACTGTTGGAGGGCTGAATTGTAATTTGAAAAAAAAAAAGAATAAATTCCGTATGCATGCTGCACATATCTTCTTTGTAGTGCAAAAAAATCTTAAAAACAATACAATAATTAAAATGAAGAACAATTTTAACAAATATAAACTTATTAGTATTTCAATGGTAAGTGTGGGCCTGCTTTTGGATGATGAGACAGGATTGTTGTTGTTGCTGGATGCTTTCAAGTAGTTTCAGACTTAGGTTGACCCTGAGCAAGGGCCGGGTAAATGACCTTGGAGGGCCGTATCTGTCCCCCCTTAGTTTGGGGACCCCTGATTTAAGGTATTAGCATGCTGGCTGATATCCGAGCAGAATATGAGCCAGAGATGTCACTGCCTTGGTTTTTTCATTATTGGCTGCTACTTCCCAGTGGATGTTAGGAGGAGCAATACCGGCTAAACAGTGTAATTTCTCCAGTGTTGTGGGGTGTAGACATCCTGTGATAATGCAGCATGCTTCAAGAGCCACATCCACTGTTTTAGTGTGGTGAGATGTGTTCCACACTGGGCATATGTACTCAGCAGCAGAGTAGCCAAGTGCAAGGGCAGATGCCTTCACTGCGTCTGGTTGTGATCCCCAGGTTATGCCAGTCAGCCTTCGTATGATATTGTTTCTAGCACCCACTTTTTGCTTGACATTCAGGCAGTGCTTCTTATAAGTTGGCATGGTCCAGAGTGATTCCCAGGTACTTGGGTATGCTGCAATGCTCCATTGGGATTCCTTCCCAGGTCATCCTCAGATCTCAATATGCGTGTCTGGTCTTAAGGTGAAAAGCACACGTCTGTGTTTTAGATGGATTACGAATCAGCTGGTTTTCCCTGGAATAGGCAGTAAGATCACCTAAAGCTTTGGAGAGCATCTGTTCAACCATTTCAAAACTTGTTGCTTGGGTGGTGATGGCTTGGGAAACTCTCTGTCCCTTCTGGCAGTGGCTGGTGATTTGTGTAAATGTTAAACGTTGATGGAACAAGCACGCACCCCTGAGGTAGACCATTCTTCTGTTTTTGCCATCTGCTTCTCTGGCCCTGGAACTCAACAAAAAAGCTCCTGTTTAGTATGAAACGCGCTCGTTGCGGTATGCGCGCGAACTACTAGTGTCTACAACAAAATGGACCTTACTTAAAAAATACCCCTCGTATATCCGGTGAATAAGGTGGGTGGTCAATCAGCTGGAAACCAAGCTCCACCATTTTTGCCATAGTCGCTTGTGCAGTGTGAGCAGAGGCGTTTTCTTACAGGAACAGGATTCCTTCGGACAGATACAACTATCAGAAAGCAAAAATGCAACTATCTTTGTCACCCATATGGACAATTTTGCATTTTAGAGAATTTAAGAATTCCGGATAAGGGATGCTCAACCAATATAACAGCAGAATGAGCCACAAAACAGTCTTTCTTGATGTGGTCTGTGAAGTATTTCTGTATAAATAAGATTCTGCCTCCAAATTTGAAGAAGAAATTCTGCAATAATTTCTGCAATAATTAATTAGTCTTGACTGTTATAGTCTATTACTTTCGCTATGGGTGAGATCTTGGCTTCGTTTACTGTACAATAATATTTGTTGTTTTCTGCAACTAAACGGAGAGGGGAAGACACCCATCAAAGAGAGAGACACAAATATGATTGATCAAAACATTGTACTGTTGCATTTGTAAGACAGCAGCCGTGCTCTGTGCTTTTTAATATACATGAAACAAAGCTTACACACACTCAATTATCAGAAAGCAAAATTGCAACTGTCTTAGCCACCTGTATGGACCACTTTGCATTTTAGAAGAGGTTCAGGATCTTTGAGAGTTGTGTAGGAAAAGATGGAAGTTATTTAACAAATGGGAGGGATGTTGTTTGACTTGCGGAGGAATCAGTAAAGAAATCCTGTGCGCAAAGGCATCTTGAAACCAAACAACTCAAACAACAATTCCGCATACCATGAGTGGGCCTTTGGAGTGGAGGCTTTTACAACTTCTACTCTTCTGTGCTTATTTATAGACACTAAACACATGCATATGCACAGTCCTGATGCATAGGAGTATGTATGTATGCATGACTCATAGGCAGACACTGATTTCCAAACCTTCCTCTTTTTTCCAGATGTACATATCTCTAATTTCAGCTCATGCTCTTGTCTTGTGCGGGTTTCAGTTCTTTTCCTGCGTTCGAGGACAGTGGATTGGTAAGCAATTGCGCAGACCGGCTTTGCAGTGTGGCTTGTGATTTAGGGTATTTAATTTTAAGCCAGTGTTTCTCAACTTTCCTAATGCCGTGATCCCTTAATACAGTTCCTCATGTTGCGCTGGCCCCCAACCATAAAATTATTTTGTTGCTACTTCATAACTGTAATATTGCTACTGTTATGAACCGTGATGCAAATATTTGAAATGCAGGATGTATTTTCATTCACTGGACCTAATTTGGCACAAATACCCGATACGCCCAAATCTGAGTACTGGTGAGGTAGGTGGGGGGGGGGGGTTGATTTTGTCATTTGGGAGTTGTAGTTGCTGGGATTTATTGTTCACCTACCATCAAAGAGCATTCTGAACTCCACCAAACTTGGCACACAGAACTCCCACGACCAACAGAAAATACTGGAAGGGTTTGGTGGACATTGACCTTGAGTTTGGGAGTTGTCGTTCACCTACATCCAGAGAGCACTGTGGACTCACACAATGATGGATCTGGACCAAACTTGGCACAAATATTCAATATGCCCAAATGTGAACAATGGTGGAGTTTGAGGAAAATAGACCTTGACATTTGGGAGTTGTAGTTGCTGGGATTTATTGTTCACCTACAAGAGCATTCAGAATTCCACCAAGGATGGAATTGGGCCAAATGCTTCCAAATTATCGTGAATCCAGAGCAGAGAGTTGAGTGAACAATGCAATGTAGTGATCATAAGGTAACGATGTACTAAAAACTCAAACCGGGCAAATACTACTGAGGGTTACATAGAACATCATGTCATGGGAAGCCTCTGCTCACACCAACAGTGTCAATGCAGACAGTGTGAGGCGGTGTGCTGGGAGGGATACTGCCTGAGAAAAAGGGACTGCCATGTGGGGACATATGAAAGAAGCTTGGAAGGAAGCAAAGAATGACGGGAGACAAACAGGCATAGGTATGGAAAAGGATATGGGGATATCCTACACTTTACCATATTAATGGTAAACTATTTGGATCCCTAGAAGACAGATTAGGGTTTTGTGTGTATCGATCCCTCATCAGGGGCTTTGTGAGTCTAGATTGACCTTGTTGTACCATGCAGCTTCTGGTGTGCTAATTGTTCAGTTGCATTCTTGCTGCAATGTGCTTTGTCTTCAAGCCTTTCCTTCTTTCCTTCCCTGGCTTTCTCTCTCAGAATGCAGCGACTTTTCCCCTCCCGTGACAGTCATCCTGCTGATCTTCTTGTGCCTTGAGGGTTTCCTGTTCCTTACATTCACCGCTGTAATGTTTGGCACCCAAATCCACTCCATATGCAACGATGAAACGGTAAGGCCAGCACATGATCCTTTGGATCTAATGTGTGATTTGATGGGCTGCCTCTTCGCATCACCTGTATGCATAGGTCTGCTGTGTCTTTGTGCCTGTTCAGTACAATATATATATATATAGAATCATAGAATCAAAGAGTTGGAAGAGACCTCATGGGCCATGCAGTCCAACCCCATTCTGCCAAGAAGCAGGAATATTGCATTCAAATCACCCCTGACAGATGGCCACTGGCCATGTTGCTTGGCCATGTTGCTTGACGATCCCAGCGCTTTATTCCCCAAAAGTAACTTTTCGGCACTCCACTTTGGGCTTTGTGGTAAGCTTAGTTGTGTGCGTGTGTGTGTATATACACACACACATATACTCATCTATGGGTTGAGCTTTAGCACAGCAGGTTAACCACCAGCTGCTGTAAATCTTGCCAACTGAAAGATTAATAGTTCAAAGCCCAGGTCAGGGTGAGCTCCTGGCCTTTAGTCCAGCTTTTGCCTACCTAACAGTTCGAATTATAGAATCATAGAATCAAAGAGTTGGAAGAGACCTCATGGGCCATCCAATCCCACCCCCTGCCAAGAAGCAGGAATATTGCATTCAAATCACCCCTGACAGATGGTCATCCAGCCTCTGTTTAAAAGCTGCCAAAGAAGGAGCCTCCACCACACTCTGGGGCAGAGAGTTCCACTGCTGAACGGCTCTCACAGTCAGGAAGTTCTTCCTCATGTTCAGATGGAATCTGCTTTCTTGTAGTTTGAAGCCATTGTTAAGTGTCCTAGTCTCCAGGGAGGCAGAAAACAAGCTTGCTCCCTCCTCCCTGTGGCTTCCTCTCACATATTTATACATGGCTATCATATCTCCTCTCAGCCTTCTCTTCTTCAGGCTAAACATGCCCAGCTCCTTAAGCCGCTTCTCATAGGGCTTGTTCTCCAGACCCTTGATCATTTTAGTCGCCCTCCTCTAGACACATTCCAGTTTGTCAATATCTCTCTTCAATTGTGGTGCCCAGAATTGGACACAATATTCCAGGTGTGGTCTAACCAAAGCGGAATAGAGGGGTAGCATTACCTCCCTAGATCTAGACACTATGCTCCTATTGATGCAGGCCGAAATGCCATTTGCTTTTTTTGCCGCCACATCACATTGTTGGCTCATGTTTAACTTGTTGTCTACAAGGACTCCAAGATCTTTTTCACACGTACTGCTCTCGAGCCAGGCATTGTCCCCCATTCTGTATCTTTGCATTTCGTTTTTTGTGCCTCACAACAACAACAACAAAAACCCATTGCTAAATTCTCAACAGTCTCACAAGGTCATTTCTTTGCCCTGCTTGCAATATTATTCTCTGTATCATGTTTAAGATGGGTTATGTGTTTCATGGTTAGGGAAATGCCTTTGAAAGTAAGCTAGAGCTGGCATGGGCCAACTTTGGCCCTCCCTCCAGGTGTTTTGGACTTCAACTCCCACTATTCTTAACAGCCTCAGGCCCCTTCCTTTTTCCTTTTACTCTTAAGCGGCTAAGGGAGAAAAGGAAAGGACCTGAGACTGTTAGGAATGGTGGGAATAGAATCCAAAACACCTGGATGGAGGGCCAAAGTTGGCCTATGCCTGAGCTAGAGGATTACGTCTGGGCCTGAACCTTTCTGTCCCAGCCTAAAGGCGCTGCATGGGCACCTTCTTGGGTGACATATCATCTTTTCCTTTTGCAATAATGCACCCAGAGATGAATATTTCATTTCCGCAGGAGATCGAAAGACTGAAAAGCGAGAAGCCCACCTGGGAGCGGCGGCTGCGCTGGGAAGGCATGAAATCCGTCTTTGGGGGCCAGCCTTCCCTGCTGTGGATCAACCCCTTTTCTGGATTCCGAATCAGGCGGCTGATGCTCCGAGCCAAGAAAGGGGGTCCCGAGTTTTCCGTCTGAGCCGGCCAATCACCATGGAACTCATGAAAACAAAACAAAACAAAAAAGTAGTATATTGTATTTATTGAGCGCAAGGGGAAGGGAAACCCGTCCCAGTTTAAACCTGTGAGCAGTGAGGATCGACACGTATGGAACGTTTTGCTTGTAGCAAGCAGAATTTTATACATTTATAATCACAGGCATCTCATTAACTCTTGGAAGCGATAGGCGGGATCCCGCCACGTATGGCTTCGCAGAAGGAACAACCAAGGAAGGTGGATGGGCACATTCAAGAAGCCAAAATAATTGTCTTTACTACTGTAACTTATTGTTTTTAGAGGACTAATTGTGCATTTATTTTTTATTTTTTCAACCCTCTTTTTGTTTTATATGCGTGTACTTTTTGTTTTTTAAGAATTGATATCTGCTGGGTATGTGTTTTTTATTTTAATTTTTAATTAAGACTGTGCACTCTGGCACAGCTTATCAATCGTGATACATAAAGGCATAAGTGCTGGAAATCGCTCTCCAAAATCAGCACTTTCTGTTTGTTTTGATCCCATAATTATCAGGCAATGTGTAACCCATTCATGTAACCTTTTTTTCAGTTTGTCCTAAGAGCCCGCTGAGCGATATCTCTGCATCTCTTGTCCAAAACCCCAAGGATAAGCAGCTGTTCATTGCCCAACATTGCTATAGCGTCACTCAGTCTCTTTTCTTTCAGTGGCTGGATTATAACATGTTAACTGTGTGCTAATCTGGTTGCAGTGCTCTCATTTGGCCCTGGATATTTGTGCCACTTTTGCTGATCATAAGCAGTTAAAGGAGCCTCCGGTGGCGCAATGGGTTAAACCCTTGTGCTGGCAGAACTGAAGACCAACAGGTCAGAGGTTCGAATCCAGGGAGAGCGCATATGAGCTCCCTCTGTCAGCTCCAGCTCTCCATGCGGGGACATGAGAGAAGCTTCCCACAAGGATTGTCAAACATCAAAACATCTGTGCAGTGTCCGCTGGCAACGTCCTTGCAGACGACCATTTTCCTCACACTAGAAGTGACTTTCAGTTTTTCAAGTCGCTCCTGAGATGAACAAAAAAAAAGCACTTTAAGAAAAGATGGCTGTGGTGTCGAATCCCATCATTTTGGGATCCAAACATGGATGGCTCTCATTTTCCTTTGATAACAATTTCTGATAATGTGTTGTCGAAGTCTTTCATGGCTGGAATCACTGGGTTGCTGTGAGTATTCTAGGCTATATGGCCATGTTCCAGAAGCATTCTCTCCTGATGTTTTGCCAACATTTGCCAACAATATTAATACAATATTGCTGCTATTGTATTAATTTGATTGTTTTAATTAGTTATAACTGTTGTCGTTATATTGTATTTCGTATATTGTATTTTGTGAATTGTCAGGCATCGAATTGTGCCTTTTGTAAGCCGCCCTGAGTCCCCCCTAGGGGGTTGAGAAGGGCGGGGTAGAAGCACTCCAAATAAATAAATAATAAACATATATGGCAGACATCCTCAGAGCTGGTGAGGTCTGTTGGAACTAGACAAGTGAGGTATATATGCTTGTGGAATGATGTCCAGGGTGGGAGAAAGAGCTCTTGTCTGTTTGAGGCAACTGTGAATTGGCCACCTTGATTAGCATTTAATAGCCTTGCAGCTTCAAGGCCTTGCTGGTTGCTGCTTGGGGAATCCTTTGTTGGGAAATGTTAGCTGACCCTGATTCATATTGTCTGAAATTTTCCTGTTTTGGGGGTGTTGTTCTTTATTCACTGTCCTGATTTTAGAGTCTAGAGTTGAGGCAGGTGTGAATGTTGCCAATTGCAAAATACTAGAAGTTCCAGTATATACAATGGAATAGTAAAACTGGGTTGCTGTGAAACTAGGCAAGTGGGGTTTATATATCTGTGGAATAATGTCCAGGGTGGGAGAAAGAACTCTTTGTCTACTGGAGGCAAGTGGGAATGTTGCAATTGGAAAAATTCACACTTGTCTCAACTCTAAACAGAATGGAGGAAACCATGAAAATGAACAAAATCTGGCTACCAGTATTAAAAAGCTCTAAAATCAAGACAGTAAATAAAGAGCAACACTCAAAAAACAGAGGAATTCCAGAAAATAATCTTTCAGGGTCAGCTAATCATCTCCCAACAAAGGATTCCCCCAGGCAGGAAGCAGCCAGGCTTTGAAGCTGCAAGCCGCTCCGAGCCCTAGGGGAGTGGCGGCATATAAGTTTGAATAATCTATATAAATAAAAATGTAGTGTTCGTTTGTGGGATTAACAGAACCCAAAAACCACTGGGGGAATTGACACCAAATTTGGACACAAGGCACCTAACAGTCCAATGTATGTCCTTCACTCAAAAAAATTGATTTTGTCATTTGGGAGTTGTAGTTGCTGGGATTTATAGTTCACCTACAATCAAAGAGCATTCTGAACCCCACCAACGATGGAATTAAACCAAACTTGGCACACAGTTCTCCCATGAACAACAGAAAATACTGGAAGGGTTTGGTGGGCAGTGTCCTTTCGTTTTGGAGTTGTAGTTCACCTACATCCAGAGATCACTGTGGACTCAAACAATGATGGATCTGGACCAAACTCTACACGAAGACTCAATATGCCCAAATGTGAACACTGGTGGAGTTTGGGGAAAATAGAATCTTGACATTTGGGAGTTGTAGTTACTGGGATTTGTAGTTCACCTACAATCAAAGAGCATTCTGAACCCTACCAACGACAGAATTGGGCCAAACCTCCCACACAGAACCCTCATGACCACCAGAGTGGGCCACAGCAATGCGTGGCAGGGGACGGCTAGTAAATAAAATAAATAAGCCCATTCAGTGCTACCCAAGGTGACCAATTCTTTCCCTCACCCTGGACATTATCCCACAGATATATAAACCCCACTGGCCTAGTTTCCAACAGACCTCTATGCAGATACCCTCACTGATTGACTTTGCAGTTGCAAGGCTATTCAATGCTAATCAAGGTGGCCAATTGCAACATTCACGCTTGCCTCCAACAGACAAGAGTTCTTTTTCCCACCCTGGACATTATTCCACAGAGATAGATGCAAAGATAGACCCCACTTGCCTAGCTTCCAACAGACATCAAAACCTCTGAGGATGCCTGCCATAGATCTGGGTGAAATGTCAGGAGAGAATGCTTCTGGAACATGGCCAGACAGCCTGGAAAACCAACAGCAACCCAATGTCTGGTAACTTCCCAGGATTGGTATGTTTTCCCATTGTGAAAGAGCAAAATGCTTCCTTGCAAAAACCTTAAAAGGAAAACAGACTGGTATTATTGGCACCATTCTTTTTCCTTCTTCACCAAACCCATCCCGGGAATTTCTTCCAAACTTTCTCTGAAATTATATTTGGGCCCAAATTATATTTGGTTTCCCCCCTCCACCCACCTACCCACCCATCTACCTACCTACCTTCGACCTCAGCCTTACGTTGTAAGGAGACTCACCTCTTGGCACTCAGGTGTCTCTTGAGGCTTTCTTATGGGAGTTCGGGGCAGACTAGATCCCCATGGAACAAACGGATTATAGAGTGGAAGTCCTCTTAATCCAGTAGACTCAGTTGTTGCTTGCATTTCTTTTTGTGTTATAATCAGAATACACAAAATAAGAGAATGTGCAAAACGGCCTGTGCTTGCTCCAAGTTAAATACTGTGGGAATGCTGTAGACCTGATCTGCAATCCAGGTGTTTTGGACTCCAACTCCCACCATTCCTAACAGACTCAGGCCCCTTCCTTTTCTCCCTCAGCCACTTAAGCGGAGGGCCCCCCGTGGCGCAGTGGGTTAAACCCCTGCGCCGGCAGGACTGAAGACTGACATGTCGCAGGTTCGAATCCGGGGAGAGAGGCGGATAAGCTCCCTCTATCAACTCCAGCTCCTCATGCGGGGACATGAGAGAAGCCTCCCACAAGGATGATAAAAAAACATCAAATCATCCGGGCATCCCCTGGGCAACGTCCTTGCAGACGGCCAATTCTCTCACACCAGAAGCGACTTGCAGTTTCTCAAGTTGCTCCTGACACGACAAAAAAAAAAAGCGGAAAAGGAAAGGGCCTGAAGCTGTTAGGAATGGTGGGAGTTGGAGTCCAAAACACCTGGAGAGATGGCCAAAGTTTGCTCAGACTGTATTGTTTGAACCTCTTGGATGCGCCATGAGACATCGGGTTCATTTCAAGAGAGATTCTTTGGATGGTGCCAAAGTTTCCTCTTCCTGTCCTTTATTATTAATTATTCAATCCAATTATTAATTATTCAATCCAAGTTGGTGGCAAATTCCTTTGTTTAGTCAGGAATGCCTCTTCCGACTCTCAGACACGTAAACAATGGTCTCATGGTGACATTTGGGTACGGTTCCACTTGTTTCATATCTGGTCTCCTTGGCATCATGACACCCAGCCAAGCTGATCATAGCTTCTTGGGTTTAACCATTAGCTACAATGCATAAGGAAGCCATTTCTTTGGGAATGAGAAAGTGCTGCGATGTTGAAATGTGTATAAGATTTTTTTTTGTGGTGACAGCTGGTACGGTGCCATAATGATGACCAAATCTGCTTCCGTGCCAGAGAATAGTGTAAAAAACAGCGTTTCCCGGTCCCTTGTAGAGAGAAGCCCCTGCATGGTTCCAATGTGCCGCTCAATCTGCAAGTAATGCTTTCGTAACACAACGATCCCGAACCAATTCTCTTCCACCGTTCCTCCGAATCCCAGTTGTAATGGAAGGGTTATAACAGTGCAAAATTTTGAGCATGTATGTCCTCAACGGGTTTTGTTCAGAGACCGCAACTACAACCCTGTATTGAAACTTGCCTTAAACATATCACGGCTCCTATTTTGCTCTTGGTACCAGGCATGGGTTCTAAATGGTCTAAAGTACTTCCAAAACTAGGAGACGCTGCTGCTTTGCTTCTAAAGTGTTGCTAAAGTTCTGGTGGTGAAAATTTCAGAACTCTTAACAGAACTCTCAAAATTTTGTTATAAATGGCAGTTCCTAATTGGTTCTGTCATAGAAATCACCAATAACAAAATAATAATGAAATCATAGAATCACAGAATCAAAGAGTTGGAAGAGACCTCATGGGCCATCCAGTCCAACCCCCTGCCAAGAAGCAGGAATATTGCATTCAAATCACCCCTGACAGATGGCCATCCAGCCTCTGTTTAAAAGCTTCCAAAGAAGGAGCCTCCACCACACTCCGGGGCAGAGAGTTCCACTGCTGAATGGCTCTCACAGTCAGGAAGTTCTTCCTCATGTTCAGATGGAATCTCCTCTCTTGTAGTTTGAAGCCATTGTTCCTTGTCCTAGTCTCCAGGGAAGCAGAAAACAAGCTTGCTCCCTCCTCTCTGTGACTTCCCCTCACATATTTATACATGGCTATTAGGCTTGGGCGGTTTTGTTCGTTAATTTCGTAATTCGTTATTAATTCATATTTAAATTAACTTACGATCCAGTATTGAGCCATGCAATAGTAGTTATTTTGTAATTATTTTGTACAATTATTACAATTATTTTGTAATTATTTCGTAATTATTTTTGCATGTCTGGTGCAAGTTTTATAGTTGTTGTTTGTTTAATCACACCAACAGTCAACAACAGAGGGAGAGGGAAGATTCAGAAGTTCCCCCTGTCCCATTTGGAGGTTTTTTTTAGCATATTGCGCAATCGCGTCCGCCATTAACAAATCGATTCGTAATTATACGAAATTTCATATATTTCAAAATTTTTAAAACGAAAATTTCGGAATTATTAAAAAAAAACGAAACGCAAGGGCCCCCTAAAAACAAAACGAGTTTAGAACCAATTTTTTCCGTGGTTACCCAAGCCTAATGGCTATCATATCTCCTCTCAGCCTTCTCTTCTTCAGGTCAAACATGCCCAGTTCCTTAAGCCGCTCCTCATAGGGCTTGTTCTCCAGACCCTTGATCATTTTAGTCGCCCTCCTCTGGACACATTCCAGCTTGTCAATATCTCTCTTGAATGTTGAACTGTTGAAAGTTTTGTTAGAGTTCTGAAATTTTCACCACCAGAACTTTAGCAACACTTTAGAAGCAAAGCACCAGCACCCTCTAGTTTTGGAAGTACTTTAGAAACATTTAGAACCATGGATTGTCTATGCCTACTTGGTACCATATATATGCCTCAGAGCCACCTATTCCGTATCTGAAACCCCAGAGATCTTCGGTTTGGCCTTTTCTAAATATTGCTGGGAGACAGTGTCTTAGGCACCATTCCTTATCCAGTTTCATTCCTTCCACCAAAGAGATGCATCACTCTTTGGTTTAGAACAGGCATGGGCAAAATTTGGCCCTCCATGTGTTTTGGACGACAACTCCACCATTCCTAACAGCCTCAGGCCCATTCCTTTTCGTCCTCAGCCACTTAAACAGTTGAGGGGGGAAAAGAAGGGTCCTGAGGCTGTTTGGAATGGTGGGAGTTGAAGTCCAAAACACATGGAGGGCCAAATCTTGCCCGTGCCTGGTTTAGAGAGTGGCCTGTCTCTTCTGCCGTTATAAAAATAGCCAACCTTGTACCACGTGTCTTTGGGGTTAAATCACACCACGTTAAGCGAAGATGCATGTTAACTTACCTTGATAGCATCTTCCCTTCGGCTTTTGTTTTTTTGTTTGTTTGTTTTGGTTTGTTTTGCCAAGCAAATCAATCCAAGAAGTCTGTGTTAACCTCCAGATGACAAATCACAAACAACAAGCTAATTCACATCATGCTGAGCAAGTCAAGTTTGAGGTAGGAAAATCAGGTGCCTTTTTTAACCTCCGAAATGGGCTCTAATATTGTGCTCACTGCAACATCTCCTTTAGACCTATACTCTTTTGGGGTATAGTTACCATTAGATTATAATATAAATTCTACTCCCCTGTGGTTCACTGCAACTACAGTAGAGTCTTGCGTATCCGACATAAAAGGGTAGGCAGAACGTCAGATAAGCAAAAATGTTGGATAGTATGGTGTCTCCTACTGTTACCTGTCCGACGTGGTGCTAGACCCTAGAATCGGAGGTGATTAGTTGTTCTTTGGAGCCCCCGGTGGCGCAGTGGGTTAAACCCCTGTGCTGGCAGGACAGGTCACAGGTTCGAATCCGGGGAGAGGTGGATGAGCTCCCTCTATCAACTCCAGTTCCTCATGCGGGGACATGAGATAAGCCTCCCACAAGGATGATAAAAAAAAACATCAAATCATCTAGGCGTCCCCTGGGCAACGTCCTTGCAGACGGCCAATTCTCTCACACCAGGAGTCACTCCTGACACGACAAAAAAAAAGTTGTTCTTTATTTACCGTTCTTTATTTACTTTTTTAAAAAAAAAACTCTAAAATCATAACAGTAAATGAACAACACTCAAAAACATGGAAATTCCATACAGGAAACAATCAGAGCCAACTAATCACCTCCCAACAAAGGATTCCTTCAGGCAGTGAGAAACCAAACCTTGAAACTAGGCTATTAAATGGTAACCAAGGTGGCCAATTGCTACCTACTTCAAACAGACAAGAGTTCTTTCTCTCACCCTGAACATTATTCTTTGTTGTTCATTCATTCAGTCGTCTCCAACTCTTCATGACCTCATGGACCAGCCCACGACAGAGCTCCCTGTCGGCTGTCACCACCCCCAGCTCCTTCAAGGTCAGTCCAGTCACTTCAAGGATGCCATCCATCCATCTTGCTCTCGGTCGGCCCCAAGAACATTATTCTACAGATACATAAACCCCACTTGCCTAGTTTCCAACAGACCTCACAACCCCTGAGGATGCCTGCCTTAGATGGGGGTGAAACGACAGGAGAGAATGCTTCCGGAACATGGCCAGACAGCCTGGAAAACACACAACAACCCATTGATTCTGGCCATGAAAGCCTTTGACAATACATTAGAAACCTAGAATACTAACAAGAGGAACTCAGAAGGTTAAGGCAAGGCAACGACTCGGGGCTAGAGCAACCCAGCAAGAAGTGCCTGGATGTAGAAGAGAAGCATGGAAGTCACAGAGGAAAGGACGCTTCTGCTTCTGGTCCTGCCTCTTTACTCCTTTTCCTTCCTCCTCCTTGTCTTACCTTTTTCTCTTATTAGGAATGGAGAGAGAGTTGAGGAGCGCTCCTTTAATTAAACAGGAAATGCTGGAGGAAAGGGGGGGGGGCGTCAGACAAGCGAAGGTCGGATAAGCGAGACTACTATGTGGTGAATTGTACAGGTCCAAGTTTTCAAAAGGAGTCCCAAAACCATGCAGATCGTGTCTTGCTGGATCTATGTAGCCCATT